CAGTACGCTTTACTTGTATGAATAATTGAATAAACAAATTTTATTTTCTGATAAATGTTTGCATCATTCATTCAGTTTGGCATTAATCCGGCTATCTGAACAAACACAGTTCCTGCAGCTATCTTGTATATTTCTCCAACTGATTATTCAAGCGAATAACTTAATGAGTACACACGCACGCACACACACATTCTCTCTCTCTCTCACACACACACACACACACACACACATATATATATATATATATATATATATATATATATATATATATATATATATATATATACAAGAGAGAGAGGGAGAACGGGAAAGTTTTCTTGTATAATACAGTTCAAAAGTTTGACGGAACCCCTGCTAATTTTTTAAATTGGCCGAAAAAGTAGGGCTGTATGTAGGTGTTTCGTACTTTCAATAAGAGAAATTTATTCTATATGGTTGCAAAAAGTGAGACATGTTTCTTATTAAAACATTTTGTATGACAAAAAGCAAAAAAAACATTATGTGATTAAATTTTGCTCTCGTTAAAATATCCCCCTTTAGCAGCAAAAAAAGTGCAGGCATTCCTTGCAAATGTTTCTCTCAGTATAAGTTTGACAACTGATTCCATTCTCGTTTCAATGTTTTTAAGAGCTATTTTTCATCATTTTTTGTTCACTCTTCTGCCAAGTTCGTCTCATGCTAATTCTGTGGCAGGTTTCAAGTTTTTGAACTGTAGTATATATTCATATACCAGGCGGTGAAGAAAAATTATCTTCCGACTCTCTCCCCAAACCTGAAGAAATCGACATGTAACAGATATATGTTTTTTGGAAGGTTTTCGTGTTAGCACCGGGAACATTCCCTGACTACGTCGTACTTTATGAGTAGCTTTTCGCCTGGTTGAAAGCCCCTAAAATGGGTCCTTCCTTTTAGGCTATGTTTATAGAGATAAATATTATGCAATAACACCATATAGAGGAAATATTATGGAATTTACCATCAAAAAATATAGAATTAATGTTTAGTTCGTCGTGATTATGCATTGTTTTTCTGTACATGTATGTATAGATTGGAATTCCAGTCAAGTTCGTTAGATTTACTTACGCAGAAATGCCCTTGGGAAAGGTCTGAATCCATCTCCTGTCCCCCAGCTATAGGTTAAATAACAGGACACACTGGTTGGCAACCAGTTTCCCGCAGAAAGAATTGGTAACACACTGCGCGAAAAAATCTGCCTCGTCAGTCATGTATCGAAAGATACTTGATCGCCCACGCGTGTATCACGTATGGCACTTAACTGACTGACTAGATTGGCGACTAGGTCTCACCTTTTTAATGTTGAACTAGATAGATACAACCGAATATGCGAATATTTCTTTTTCTCGCACTTATCGCCTGTGGGACTCTCTTACGGTCTCTTCTTTCCCTGCAACTTACAATATACGAACATTTTAAATGCAACCCCAATCCCAATTTTCTGTCTTCTTGGGACCTGTGTTTTTTTATTGTCTTTTCTTTCTCTTTGACTCCCAGTAACCCCGTGCATTTTCGTGGCATTTCTCAGTGTGAAATGATTAAAAATAAAATAAAAAAATAAAAAAGAAATTACTCCCACGATTTCAGTGTTGCGTCTTATCTGTTATTAACTTACTGCTCAATAAAAAAGAAAAAAACTAATGGAACATCCTTAAAGTGTCCAACATCCATAATTTCTTTTCCAGCGTTTACATATTTTGTTCAATAAGGTTAAGTATTACTCATTACGTTATAACCCGATTGGTTATATTGAGTAAGCTTTGCTGAGTATAATTCACGTGTTTAAGAGTCTAAAGAACAAACGTTGTTTAATAATATCTTCGCCTTCACCTCTTGACAAATTACTGTGAATTTGTTCTTTGCATCATGGAAGTCATAAATACGCCAGCTCAGTATCAACAGTCAGTTCTATCGCGGCGAAAATGCTCTATTTAAACACATCTATCTCCTGCTCAGTCCAACGGAAGACGTTTCTTTGCAAACGCTAAATAAATAAACGCAGACATTTTTTCTTCTTTTTCACAACCATCCTCAGCATGTACGTATTTGGTGAGGCACCCGTTTATATTAACCGTCAGATGAAAATATCGGAAGCGATTGCATAATATTCAACGCATTTCGCTTAGATTCATATAAGAACAGGTCGACAAGATCATCAGTCAAGCCGACTGCGAAAGTTTTATTGACCATAAATACATCCTCGTTTCTATATATAAATCAATTTCAGTTTTCACCAAAAGTTTTTTTTATACATTGCACAGCAGTCTCTCTTCTTTGTGAAGCTGTGTTTAGTAAGAAAAGCTCGTAAGCCTTTACTGCTGTTGTCAGTTCGACATTCACTCATTGACATTCTAACATATATATATATATATATATATATATATATATATATTCATACAATTGTAATTAAGATAGCATTATGTAAATGATCATTTTCACCTTCTAAATTTAAATTTACAGGATTTTTCATACAGTCAATGGATGATAAATTATTGAAATAAAAATGTTCAGCCAATGGAAAGAAAGAAATGAATAAAAAGAGGCGGGAAATAAGATGAAGCATAGAAAGGAAAAGAAGGTAGCAAAAGAAAAGAGGAAGTATTGAAAGTCTTGATATGAGTGGTGGTTGGAGGGGAAAGGAAGAGAAAAGAAGGAAAATAGCTGACCTATTTATTATTAGCCAATAGTAATCAGTTTAGAGTTAAAAGAAACCTTCAGAAATTAATGAAAAAAGAATCAAGAGATAAAACCAATATATATATATATATATATATATATATATATATATATATATATATATATATAAAAAGAAAGTGGACGTCATATCTAAGGCACCTTTTGGCCAACGCTTTGTCAACGATATTCGTTGGCAATATTTGATATAAATGAATACAAAGACAACTTAATGAAGTGAATGAGGAGGGAATGGCGGAACTCGACTAAAAGACAAATTTTAATTATATAAATTAAAATTGAACGTGGGGGGATGTAAATAAATAGTTCCACAAGAGTATATAAAATAGAAAAAAGGGGAAACTCACAGACCCTCCAACAGACGTAAGGAACGTAAAAAGTGTTCCTTCTGTCTGCACAGACTGGGTTGCTGACACTTAATATAAACGGTTTCAGAAACTCGAAGATGATGTATAGATCAGGCGCTCTGTAATACCGAAAACCATGTGTCTTCGTACTCAGCGGCACAAGCATCATTGTCCAGCAAATGTTGCCCAATTGCTGACTCATGAACTGACTGATTATATATATATATATATATATATATATATATATATATATATATAATCTCATTCAAAGCAAGTGTATAAAGCTACTGAGAGTAAAGAAAAAAGCGAAAACGTTATAGAGGAGAAAATAATAAAAGAACAGGATTCAAAAAGACAGAAGATGACGGTCGAGCTTGCATTTACATTTTTCACAATCATAGTTTACTGGAAATCAAGAACCCAGGAGATACCTTACACAAGCGAGAAGTGCGAAGGAAATGACTGTTAGCTATGATCCGATCGTTAACTCTGTCAATTTCAGCAGTAAAATGATAAGGCACAGCTGCCAATCTAATACTACACGTGAATAAATCCGAGATTCTAGGTCAGGAAAAAATAACATTTCAGATTCTTCAACGAGCAGATTGGGACTCGTTCTGTGATTTTCTTCGTGACGTCCATTGGAATGCAGTTTTTAATCATCCTGTCCATAAAAATGCGTCTGAGGTCTCCTCATGTGTGAAAACCCGCATCGATGTTTTCACTCCAGCAAAGAAATCACTTCCTCCGCCTGCAACAGACGTCTCTTTGTCTGTGATCGTAACGAGTGCAAGCGTGTCCTCATAGAAGCGAAGTTACCTGCCGCTGCTCTTGAAAAGGACTTCCAATCCGTGGTTAACTGGACCAGGAAATGGGTCATAAATGACGGAATGGGGATACTCAAATGCTGACCCTGTCTAGATGAAAAACGAGGTACAAAAACAAACTGGGGAGGTTGGTAATTTCAGCATGGACCATAACAAAAGAGAAAAGTGAAAAGAGTAGAAGTAGCGAACATTTAGACGTCACGCGAGTTTCTACTTATGTTTCCTCTATGATCACGTGGTCTACTTGATTCAATAATGGGATCACTTTGTTTTCTCGCTGGCGATCTATGTTCAAACCCAAGTGTCGGCAGCGACATTTTATTCCTATATCGCACATATGTAACAGGTTGATCTCTACTGTTCAATATATCTTTCGGGATCAATAACACAAAGACACTATTAGTTGGTAATATCTTATATGTATAATGTTTGGTCCAAAAGTGATTTTTTTTTTTTCACTTATTCCTATTTCATCAATAGCTGAGAAATCTGGCAAAAGGTTTTCGAATGTTCTTTAAATCTGATGTCTGACGTCAGATTTAAAGAAACTAATGGGAAACGATATAACTAAGAGACATTAACTCCCTCTTTTAGCTAAAATCTGCTTTGCGCCGCCAAACGAGTCTCATTATATCAGGTTCTTGAGACAAAGGCTATAGCATCCGTAACTTCTTCCGCCTTTGATTTTAATTCCGGAATTTCATTATTTGGTAATATCGTTTGAGCAATCCGAGTTGCTTCAGGCTTCATATCCTGTTCTCAATTAGATCCCCTTATTTGGAAATGGCACAAACTATCCTTCCTTTCCCCAAATACCACCGATAAATATAGTTTCTTTCTACTGTCCGGTCAGTTCTATATATGGCAAGGAATTTGTAGGGAGGTTATTCATAAGCCCTACCACAGATACGATTTTTTATTTATTTATATATCTGTCTGTCTGTCATTCTATCTTTCTATTTTATTCACTGAAATGAAGAAAAGAAGAAAATATCTAAAATTTTTCAAATGGTCAAAAATATCACACAACTGTTGCATACTTGTAAAATCCTACTATAGAAGATTCTTATCTTACTATATAAATTTATATTAATTGAATTCGATAAACAAAAACGTTTACGGTCACATTATGTTGAAACACCGGTCCCCGTACGACCACTGAAGTTAAGCAACATTAAGACTGGTCAGTACCTAGATGGGTGACTGCTTGCGAATATAATGTGTGGTGTAATGGATAATGGCTCGGGAGTATTAATTGGAGAGCCGAGTTTCAATCCACGTTGGGTTCGTTATATTCAGGTAAATACACTTGGGAAAGGTATGCATTCATCGCTTCTATGGATGAATTAGTAAAGTTGTATTACTAAATCATTATTATTTCCAAACAAAAAGAAGTCTTACAATCTCAAATTCTTACAATCTGGCTTTAAATTACCTAAAATGACGGATAAGCAGTAGAAAACGAATCATTCAGATAAATAAAATATATTTATGCCTGAAATTCGAGTCGGTGTATTTATGAGAAAATAGAAATCGACGTGGGATTGTCAAGTTCTAATTCCAGTCTAGAACGTTGCGTTCTTCCAAATATCATTGGAATGGCACAAATCCATCTCTTGTAATCCTAGTTAAGCGTTAATATCAGAATCGATGTGGCGTGCAGCCAATCTAGATGAAAGTCAACCTTGAATTCGAAACCGGTTGGGCATGGTACTAGCAACCCCACCGTCTACGGAAATAACAGCAGCAACACAAAGCGTGTTGATACTTCGACTCTATAATCCAACGGAAGAGTCTCCATGGAGATTGCAATCCCGGAAAATGGAAAAAGTGTGAACCAACGGTACTTTGGATAGGAAAATTATTCACCAGTTTCTCTCAGTAAAAGATAGAATGGTACACTATCGAATAATCATTAATAAAACGATGCAGACTGTCTGTAGAAAACAAAGAATTCTGAACAGACAATCGACTGATTTACTGTCCACTTTCGGTCATCATTTTTTTTTCCTTCTGAAATGACAAATGCCTTTCAACAAAAAGTAAGAGGATTTATTTCCCGACTTGTTCAAACTAATATCCTCATTTTTGTTGCTTTTCTTATTTATATTTCACCTAAAACATAATGAGCAATAAAAGAGAAAATAAAGATTAGAATATTCGTCCAAACAAACAGAATTCCTGATGAAGTAACACACAAAAGATAGTGATTCTAACAACAGTACATTGGCCGAAGAATGTATCATCCGAAATGTAAATATGTTGGTTTGAATGAAAATATTGTAGCATGTTTCAGTAGGTGGCCTTTGAAAACGGGATTTTGTTATTACACATGACTTTTTTTGTTACGTTAAAAATAAAATGATTTGATTGGTTGTCAACCTTTTGCAGGTCAAGCAAAAATGGAGGTAGATAAAATGCACTTTCACCATTTGATGATCTTTTATTTTCGGAACGTAAACCGCTACACACAAACTGAAAATAAAAGATATGTACCCGTTGTGGAGATGATACCATAGATAAAAGTTCTGTTTGATAGTGATCCGCTTGGTTTAAAATGGAAGTCTTGACCTAAAAGAGCGATAAGGTTCTGGCAAGCCTGAAATCATTGACGATGAGCAAATCAAAACGCTGATTAAAGACCATCCTAACCGAACGACAGGAGGCATTGCAGAGGTACTCTGTATGATTCATATGAACGGTTGAAGACATTTGAACAGACTTGGATACGTGGATCAATAAGATGTTTGAATATCTCACAATGTAATAGAAATATTAAAGAACAGTATTTCTATCTATGATTGCTAAGTACCATTCCCAACTGAACCGATTAAAAGCAACAATTGATGAAAAGCATCCATAATTGGCCAATCGGAAGAGTGTTGTCTTCTATCAGGACAACACTTTGATTTCACGTTTCCTCGCAGAACAGAACAAAATGGACCCAGCTTAGCTGGTAAACCTAATTACATCCGCCTTGCTCAGCTGATATTGAATCCTCGAGTTACTTACTATTCTTTTTACTACTTAAAATGAGAACTTCAAATGACTAGATGCCCGTAAAAAACCACTCCGGCCAGTTCGCTACCACGAAAATTCTTGAAGAATGAAACCTTGAAAACGCTTCAATGATTGGGATGCATAATAGAACAAATTGACACATATCTGCTTGAATATTTCTATGTACAAATATCTATATATTGTCTTTGAAATTCATTTAAGTACTCTGAAATGCTGCCCTAAAATTATTCACTTCTTTTAGACATGCAGAAAACACAATGAAATGGCGCGGACATGTTGGTACATTTAAAATAATATTTTAGCCTAATCAACCTGAATAATTCTATATACGACAAAATAGTTTTCCTCAAAATGTCTGAAAGTAATAAAAAACTATTTTATTTTTAGTTTTTAGTAATCTCCAGTTTAAGTAATATCAATGTATTTTTAGTAAGCGTTTCTTCAAATATGATACTTTTTCAACCTAATTTGATGGTGCATCGCCGTGAAAATGTGGTATTGACTTATTTACAAGTCATACTAATAGAAAATAAATCAAGCATTAGTCTATACGTCAGATATACATATATTCCTTACCTTCAAAGAAACACATACATATATATGTCTGTCTTTGTGTGTGTAAGCGCGTTGTGAATACAGTGCTTATACTTAAGCTGTCATTCCTCGAGCCGAATAAACAAAAAAAAATGGAAATGGGAAAATTATACCTAAAACGTATATCACGCAAATGTGGTCAGTTCACAGTGCAACATAGAGCATCACGGGATATCTAATGCTTTCAAAATGTCGGAGAGGAAACGATAACAAAAAAAAATGACTTCCTTCTTACTAAAAAGCGGAAAAGAAATGAAATCAATCTATAAGGAAGAAAAAAAAGAATGGCCGAACAGGAATGAATAAAGAATCCCATAAAATTGTTCTACGGTCTGAGAAAATATAAATATAGTATTAATTCCAGGAAAGGGGTAAGCGTCTTGGAATCACTTGTCAATATGGACATTCTTATATGCAAGAGTTAGCCATTAAACCTGACGACACGTTTTTCTTTTTTATTTATTAATGATTAAATTACTGCTTACAGACTGTATGTCGATTTGCCTTCTTTTAGCCAGCACGTTGCGAATAAGTATATATATATATATATATATATATATATATATATATATGTGTGTGTGTGTGTGTGTGTGTGTGTGGATGATTTTGAATGTGTTTTGCCGAAGGATATACATTATCTATAGATATTTTCTAACCTAATATTTGTCTGACACATGACCAGATGAACAAAACGTGGTTTGTATGATTGTGTTGAACCAATCTTTTAAAAGAAGAAGCGGATGATTTGAAGAACAAATGGAAAAGGAAAGGTTTTACATGGAGAGGGATAAAGGAAGAAATTCAAAATGAAAGAAATTAGAAAAGAATGAACATAGAAGTCATGATGCAGAAGAATTGAATAAAAGGACGAAAGGTAAGTCGTTAGAACTGTAATGCAAGATGCGAAAGCGAATTCTAAAGAAAGGAAGCAAAGAAAAGGAATAGTGAAAATAATATGATCATTAAGAGGGGAAAGGAAACAAGTGATGTATGTGTTAAAAATGGGGAGAAAATGGATTAAAGGAGGGCAATTAAAAAAATGAATTCGAGGGAGAAAATGACGAGAAGAAAATGAAGGAAAGAGAACGGGGGTATGAAACAGATATATAAAGAATAATAATAATAATAATAATAATAATAATAATAATAACAACAACAACAACAACAACAACAATAATAATAATAATAATAATAATCGAGCCCAGGAACAGGAAGAAGAAAAGACGAAGAAGGAGAAATAGAAAAAGAAGAACAAAAAGATAAAGAAACGATTCTGTGCCAAAGATTAAACTGAGTGAAGAAGAAACAAAAGATTAAGTATATATGAGAGTGTGAAGAAGAAGAAGGAATTTGAGGGAAAAAAAATGAAGGATTGAACTAAAAGAAAAAGAACGAGATGAATAGGAGAATATTGAAGAAGAAGAAATGAATGTAAGCTAAGAGAAAAAGAATGAGGGGAATACGAATATATATTGAAAAGAAAAAAAGCAGAAATAGAAGCAGAAATACTGACGAAAAAACGAAAAATTGTGCGAAGCGAAAAACACACAGTAGAATACGTGAATAAAGAAGAAGAAGAAGAAGAAGAAGAAGAAGAAGAAGAAGAAGAAGAAGAAGAAGAAGAAGAAGAAGGAAACAAATATGGAAGAAAATAGTACCAACTTAAATAGAGAATAGAGAAAGCGCGGAAAAAATTAAAATTAAGTGAGGCAAAAAGGCAGTCGTCGACATTAGAAGAAATCAAAGAGCAAGCGGTTATGAAGAAGAAATACTCAAAATGTACAAAAGATGAAGAGATAGAAAAATTGTAAAAGGTAAGAAAAATCATGAAGTGGAAAAAGAAAAATGGGAGAACCATAGACAATTTAACAAACGAGGGTCGATGCCATGACATTGTGGCCTCCTAATCTATTTCCCGAAAATGTTCACTTCGTTCCGCTCTGAAATGGCCATAATTTTGGTGGTGACTCTAAAATAAACGAGCATCGTATGTTGAGTGGTCAGTTTATTTATCGGACGTCGTTCTTGGTCAAGCAAGAGAAATCAAATCATTTGTCAAGCATGCTTAAGCGAATTCATTGGCTGCGCTACAGCTATTCCTACATTTTTGTATGTGTCATAACACAACGGAATAATCATCAGAAACTTGTTAAGATGTTCACTGTGGAGACTGACTAAACGAGTTTCATTGAAATAAGTAGCAGCACTACGAATTTTTCATACGGTAAAAAGCGTCGATTTTGCGAATATTGTAAGATTTGCGTTCATTATTCTTGCATTTAAAAGTAATGCAAGAGAAAAATAAAGCTATTTGTTGAGTTTACAATGGATGCAAAAATATTTTTTTTCGTTGGATAAGGTCGGTTGCTTTTACAAATAGATCAAAACTTGCTGGTTTATTTGATGCCAAAATCAGTCACATTTTATATCTAAAGCCATATGCCATAACCTGGTTTGGACGGAAGAGATAAATATTGATCGTTTTTAGTAGGTAGTTAAAAAAAAAGTACCGTATTTTTTCTGATTATAAAACACATTTTTCATATAAAATATCACCAACAAAACACCATATGTCCTATAAATCGGAGGTCGGAGATACAAGTTTGGACCTCGCGTCAGCTCAACGGTTACATTCAATTCTGAGTCGTTGAAAGTGTTTCGAAATTAAATTAATGTTTTGAGAGAAGCTATTTACACCCTTGTGCAAATTAATTGAAACAATCGCTTTAGTTTCCTTTCTTTCACTACGCTGTCAGTTTTAGACCGACTGGAATGACAGGGTGTAATAAATTTCTACTTTTTCCTTAGATTAGGTCATTTCCATTGGTGTGAATCTATTTTAGGGGTGTATGACGTAATTTGTTTGGTCTTGAAAAATCTTGCGCCATCTGTGATTGCATCAGATTTTTATCCCGCCCAGACACTATTGTCTCGACTGCCGATTAGTTGTCCTACGGCCATTGTCTGCGATGAACGTTACTCCATGGAAGTGTACGAAAATTGTAACGCTCCACGAACACACTGGCAAGGCTTACCAGTGAGAAAATCTGGCCCAGAAATTCTCTTAATTTGAAATCCGATCGAGAATCTGTGGTCAATCTGCAAGGGATGTCTTTGTCGAATGGATATACGAAGTACTAACGTGGGCATTGGGTCATTTTTCATTGGACAAATACGAAAAAATGTAAATAATATCAGAATTATTCGTTTTGTTTCAATTAATTTGCACAAAGTTGTATGCAGTTGGATTACTCACAAGAAACTAAATTCCCGCTACAGTAATACATATCCCGCTCTCACCCCTTCACTATCGAAACTCTTAAATGTAGCCGTCTCTTCTACGCCAATAGCTTCATGTCTCACACCTCTCGCCTGTGGAAACTCCGTTCTTTATTCCAGTTTCCCTGAGAGCTATAATCTCCAGCTATTCAAATGTAATGTCAATCGACATCTCCAGTTGTCTTGATCTATCCACTATCCTTCTCCTCATCCTTTCTTCTATCACTCCTATCTGATCTTGCTACAAATTTTCTGTAACCCCTTGCGTCTTAGTGGCTTCCCGCCTTGCTTGGGGTGAAATGCTTAAAAAAAAACAAACTACGTCCTTCTTTCCTTTCTTCCTAAACTATTAATTTAAAGGGTTTACATAAATTTGGGAGATCTTCTTGGTCTGTGATGAATTTGTTATGACTAGTCAGGTTTTTCTGCAGTGGGCGAAAATTGGGCATTTTTCGATTTCCTCCTTCTGATTTTTTCGGATGCATCGGTGCGTCATAGAATTAGTAATTACGTTTTACCATGAAGGACATAAAAAGGTCAGTTAAATTTCTATGAAGTATGATTCATGAAAAATGCATTCAGCTTCATTTTCAAAGACAACCGAATGGGAATTTAAAATTTAAAACTCCACGTTTAAAGAAATACATATTTTTTTTAAAACCTGGAAGAAATTTCGAACAACTGATTTCAACTTCTCCCCTTCTGAATGATCTGCTCCATATAAAATTCTCTAGTATCGAGACAAATGAACAATTGTAGGTGCTACATTTGATGTGTATGAAGGATGTGGAACAATCCCTCCCATTATGTCTTCTAAGTTTTTCTTATGTTTGTTTTGCATTGTGCGCCTGGGCTTAAGAATAAGATCTTTTCTTTTTACCAAAGCAGGGTACTTTCAATGTAAAGCTTCATTTGACCGATCAAGCAAACTTCTGCACGGATATTCCAATAGCCATTGTTCGATGATATATTTCCTATTCTCTCAAACCCAAACCTATGACTTCTCTGAATGGGGTCCTGGTTTTTGTGTTCGCATGGGTTTGTCATTCTTTTATATCTACTGTCGTTTTCATAATCTGTTGACATGCAAAACCCATTCGTCATCATCTGTATGAATGTGGAAAAAACTAGATAGATAGATAGATAGATAGATAGATAGATAGATAGATAGATAGATAGATAGATACACACATACATACATACATACATACATACATACATATGAATAGACATAAATTTGTTTTCTTTGCTTAACGGCATATCAACTCCTTATGGGTCATTTAATGCAGAAATTTAATTTTTTTGCGAGCTTTGATGTAATAAAAATATATGTTATTCTGCTTTCACAGTTGAGTACATGGCAGATGATACCCAGCTTCTGTGCATATAGATGTTTGTGCGGACATAATTACGAGAGGCGGTGATATGTGAGTTTTATGTTGTAGCTTTTCTGAAGTTATATTTTGGAATAGAGTTTGATTTCTTTAGGAAATTATAGGATATTATATAGATTAAAGTCATGAAGCAATTATTTCGTGTTGGGCGTTTTGTAGATTTTGTTTAGCGGTATATCAAACTCCATAAAATATTTAATGCCGAAATCGAAATATTTTGAACGTAACTGCATGCCTTCAACTACAGATAAAATGTATTGGTGATCATTCTACTATAAATATGTACTGCTAGTCATTTTACTATAAAATGTATTGCTGACACTTTTTATATATATATATATATATATATATATATATATATATATATATATATATATATATATATATATATATATATATATATATATATATATATATATATATATATATATATATATATATAATATATATATTAGATAAACAGATTGGTATGAATAAACTTAGATAAGAAGATAGACAGATAGATAGATAGATAGATAGATAGATAGATAGATAGATAGATAGATAGATAGATAGATAGATATGAAAAAAAACTTATATATATAAGATATATATATATATATATATATATATATATATATATATATATATATATATATGAAGAAAAATTTGGAAAAAACAAACAAAAATCATTAAATGCAATTATGTTGTTTAAAATGAATGAAATGTCGACGTCTGACATTTCGGTTTAATAAACCTTTTTCAAGACAATATTCATTAAAATACAATTCAGTTCAATTTGACAAAGACGATGGACATAAACAACAAGTCTTATCCAAAACAGATAACTGAAAATTCATTCATTTAATGATTTTTGTTTGTTTTTTCCAAATTTTTCTTCATTCTGTCGGATCTATATTCATTTACATTTGCTTACATATATATATATATATATATATATATATATATATATATATATATATATATATATATGTCTTTCATATGTAAGATTTTTCAAAGCTATCTATCTATCTTCTTATCTGTTATCTTTATATATATATATATATATATATATATATATATATATATATAGATAGATAGATAGATAGATAGATAGATAGATAAAATGAATAGACTTAAATAGATAGATATGAATAGATTTATATAGATTTATAGATAGGGACGAATAGACTAGGATAAATAGCTATGATTAATCTCAGTAGGTAGAACCTGCTAATTAAATTATTATTTTAATTTTATTATTTCAAGCATTCGCAAATATTTCCTTTGTAAACAACTAGTTTTAAACCCTTGTTTTTAAAGAATCATCCTGTAAGTTGTAGAATAAACATACATAAATATTCTACAAGTTATTAATTTTTCACAAAAACATATTTGACATTCTTGTTTTCGAAAATTCTTGAAATATTAGTTGTTGTTCATGTTCAATTTTTTTTTCATTAGTTGAAAGATCGAATAGTTGTTACCACTAAAACAATAATATTTGCATCTCAAAATCTAAAATCTGTCTTGAAGTTAATATAATCGAAATAGTTTTTTTCTACTTAAATATGAAGTAGGAAGAATTCAATAATTAATTTTCAGATGCAGGTTTGTAAAATAAATATACTGGAAGTAGAAGAAAAAAATAAAGAATACAATGAAAGAAATATGGAGAAAATGAAGAAACGGTATTATCAAGGAGAAAACATTAGACAACGTGTAATGAAAGGAAAAAGAAAGTGAAAATGGATGAAACAAGAGGAAGAAGAAAAGAAAGCGAAACAAAGAAAAGATGTTAAATGTGGAAAAACGAAGGACTAGAAACAACATTGTTAGAAAGAGAGAGAAAGTGGGGTTGAAACAAGTAATAGAAAATGAGGAAAAATGCAAAGAAAAAAAATGAAAAGAATACATGGAAATATGCAGAGAAAGGAAGAAAGAAAGACCGACAGAAAAATATGTAATGAGATCAGAAAAACAAAAGAAGGAAAAAATTTTTAAAAATAGGAAAATGAAGAGAAAGGATTCATCCTTTCTCTTCATTTTCCTATTTTTAAAAAACCAGGAAAATGCATAGAAAGAAAGAAAGAAAAAAAGCAAAATTGGAAAGGAATGAAGAGAATATGCAGAGAAAAAGAGAAGGGAAGAATAAAGAAATAAAAATTCTATCTAGAAAAATCTACAAGCCAAAAAACGGGAAAAAAAAAGAACATTACTGCTTGAAAAATGTCTGAAAACCAATTTTGGAAAATAAATATTGACGAGGAAAATATGATTAGAAAAAGAATCGGATAAATGTAAAGGAAAAAGAGAAAGAATAAAGAACACATTTGAAAGCAAATAAAACAAACCAAACGGACTTAACAGGGCGGAATAAACTGTGGTTAAAAGTGCGCACATCGTAAAACCTACATTAGTAAAACAAAGAAAGTCTGACAAAAAAGCAATGAAAACAAAGCATTGCGCGAAGAGAAATTGCAACACTTAAAAAAAACACTTAGAAAAAAAGGAACAAAATCTCATGGAAATGTAACATTGAAATTGATGCTTTTCGCAGCATTATGAATCGTAGAATTAATTGGTAAGTTGTCTGGAACAAAATTAAAAATAAATTCCTCAAGACTGAAGTGAGAATAGCACAAGAATTTGCCGGTGGGGAGTTAGCTTTAAAAAATATCGAATAATATGCAGAATGGTCGTCAACAAAAGAGACAGCCTAGACGTGTGGTCTGCACATTAGGGACGAAAATATTTTTAGAAAGAAACTATGAAGAATTTAACACACAAAAGGCAATGTAGGCAAGAGAAACACAAGAAAGTTAATGCATCTGTGTGATGAGATTATATAAAATGGACAAAGAATGATAGGAAATAGACAATGTCATAATGCCCCATGTATGAAATGCATAATCATATAATGCAAAAAAAAATCATTTACATTAAAAAAAAAAATGCAAAATAAATAATGTGAGAATTAGAGAAAAAAGATTTTTATATATAAAAATATAATCAAAGTATTGATTTGAAACGAAAATTCATAAAGTTTGTTAATAGGTGTCGCCTGAACATGTGATTCGTTTCATAAATGACTGAAAATTATAATATATATACATATTGCGAAAGGTGACATTTCACTGGGTTTTTTGGTTATGTGTGCCAATTTTAAATGTTCTGTTTTATATTAAATGTGAAAATATGAAAAAAAATTACATTTTCGTTATTTGATCCTTTTTTTAATTTCGAAAATGAAAATAAAAAAATGTCTATAAAAACAGCATAACAACTATGTGCCATTTATGAAAATGGTGCCATAGATGAGCATAATGTTCATAAATTATTTCCCTACGTACAGAAGAAAAACATTTAATCTGGATGACAACGGACATTCCTGCAGTCGTTGATGATTACAAAACCGAAACACAGATTAAAAATAATTTCACTGACACAACACGGCACATCGCTGAAAATACAACACATATATCAAAGGATCGTTCTAAGATATTTGAAAACACTTGAATATTCGTGACACTACGTCTTTTGGGGTATCACAATTTAATGGAAAAAAAATTAGTGGACATCATTTCCGTTTGCGATTTTCTGTTCAAAAACTATAATAACGACCCACTTGTGAAAAGTAGGATTACAGGCAAAGAAAAGTGTATTGTTTACAACAATGTAGATCAAAAAAGATCACGAGGAGAAACGAAATGAGCCACCATTAGCCACTCGAAAAGCCAGTTTGCGTCTGAGGGAGGTACTGCTGGTGGAACTGAAAGGGCAATGTATATGAGGAGCTCCTTCGACAAAAATCAGACGTTGAATTTAGACAAGAACTGTTGTTAATTAAACCAATTAAAAGTTAGCAGTTTATGAAAAAAATTCGCAATCAGACAGTGATGTGTTCTATCAGAAAACGTTAGATTTATACTTCCTTGCAGACATGATAGAAATTGGTCCACCTCGGCGAGAATGTTTTACTACTGTACTCATCTCACTTTACACCTCTGGATTAACACTTACTTCCATCCCGACAAAATTCGCTTAAGGAGAATAACTTCAAATCGCTGGAATCTTGTAAAAAATCTAGGTCTAGGCGAATGGAATCATGAAACTGCCTCAAAGGTGACCGAATGTAATGGAATAAAATGTTGTAATTCTATGTAACATTGTCTTTGAAATTCTCTTCAAAACGCAAAGACTTTTTGTTTTTGCTAAAGAAAACTAAAAGCAATGAACAATTATAAACATTCCATAAACTTATCTTAATACTGTCCAAAACCAAATTCTGAGCAATAATAGGAAGATTGTGTTGTATTTAAGTTCCAAATCGGAGTTTCAAACTGCATTTAAATTAAACATTTGGCAAAGGATGACTTTAAATTCGGTACCATTTCATTTTTGTTTGCTATCTTTTCCTTGTTTTTTTTTTCTTTTTTGGCTTACGGATTTTAAAGATCAAGATAGATGTAGAATGTTTTGGCCGAGAACACAACACGAGGAATGTGTTAAACATCTCGTTTAAATATTATATTTCATACTACAGGGGGCGAAAAAAGTAACGCCCTTTTATATTCATTGGACCGAAATAAATTAGAGTAGTTTAAGAAAATTTATAAGTATTGGCACAACAAAACAATATATGTTATGTTTAATGAACCATTTACCATCTATAAAATGATGCCTATCATGTTAAATACAAGGCTGAACCGTATCAGCAACCCTTCTACAAAACATTTGAGAAATTTCTACATTAACGTCAGAAGATTTATCAGAAATTGATTGTTTTAATTCAGGAGTTGTTTTCGATTTGAGCCTGTAAAAAAGATCTTTAAGTCTGGCGGTGTAGTGTCTGGTGATGGTGATGGCCACGCAATTATTCTAATCCAGCATGAAATTAAGGTTTAACTATTCCTGAACGGGTAAGACATAGTTAATCTTAAACAATTTTAAACTACTGTAGTTCATTTTTTATTCAATAAAACTTACTAAATAGAAAGGGCATTATTTTTTGCCGCACTCTGTATTTCCATATTAATGTTAGCATGTAGGCGAAATGTTATATGTTCATGTTTCACTATAGTCGATTTGACAAGTGTAATATCGGTCGCAAGAGAGGGTTCTATTGTTTGGCAGCGTAGAGAAATACCGGACAAATATCGCATGGGTTATCCAAAAACGTCTTAGCTGAAACTGGGCAGATGAAACTGCTTGAAAGCCGCCTATGATTGTGCTTACAAGATGTCGTGACCAAAGGTTTCCACGTCCTGCGAGCAGAGTATTGCGAGGCAGCAGGATTTCTTTGGTAACAAAGAAAAGAATACTGAGCTGTTACGTGACATCTGTTCTTCTTTACGGCAGCGAATGTTTGAAGATTTCCTTAAGGATGAAGAAGAGATTCGAGGCGACGGAGAAGGATTCTAAGGATATCATGGACCGAGATTATTCGCAACCAGGATGCCTTAGATAGGTTACAAACAAGGAGAACGCTTATACTTCACATCAAAAAGAGACAGCTGAAGTTTCTGGAACACATAATGGGGAAAGAGAGCCTGGAGAATATGATACTCACGGATCGAATAGAGAGAAAGAAAGACAAGGGAAAGCAGCGCGTGAGATTTCTGACGAGCTTGAGCAGGTGGACGACACAACGTGATCTGGGGTAGGAAGCAGAGGGAAGGAATTTGCTAAGAGCTGCAAGGGATAGAGGGAGGTGGAGGGGGATGATCTCCCACGTCCTGAAAGGACATGACAAATAAAAAGAAAAAAAAGAAAGATAACCCAAGATTATGTACTCCCTCCCAGAAAGTGTAACTAAGGTCTCTTCAGTATAAATCATACTTATTATAAAACCCAGGTTGTATGTGTGTGTCTGTTCGTTTATATATTGGATCGGATTTCCTACATTTTTCAACCGATTTCAACAAAACTTCACAAGACTACGTAAAATTAACTTGCGGTGGTTCTGACACTGCCAAAAATTGGAAAAACACAATTGTTTTTGCACAAAATCAATTTGAAAACACGATTAAGAGACATCGGGGGAATGAAAGGGGTCAACTCATATCGAATTATACTTATAAAACCCAGGTTGTTTGTGTGTGTGTTCGTTTATATATGGGATCGGATTTCCTACATTTTTCAACCGGTTTAAAAAAAAAGCTTCACTTTTTTTTGCTGGTAGTGTTTCTTATTGTCTGGCACACTTTTTTCTTTATTTTTACATTCAGAATGCTTTACAAATTCTATTTACAAGACAATTGTTTATAATAAAATTGTATTCAATCGGTAGACTCATAACGATTGAAAACAATGTTTTTGTTTGAGTTTGGGTTTGACCAATTTGTAAAAAAAAATAAAAATAAAAAACAAACTAATTAAGACGTTCGTGTCCGTCAACCTTAAACAATAATCTTTGTCAATTTTATTTTTCAGTCTTTATGATGGTGAATACTTGATCTATCTCTTAGTCTTACTGTTACATCAGCGGGCAACGTCGGGCTCTACTGCTAGTATAATATAAATAAGAGGAATGAAGCTGTGGATTCTGAAGAAATATAAACGTACTTGTGAAGGTATCAGTACAGGGATAAGCTGACTAATCTAACAGACTGTGATATTCGTAAACGAGTGGCCAATTAATATTACCTATTTTTTACTATTGCAAGTGTGTGTAACAGAAGAGTTCTCTGTCAAGCTATTTAAAATCTGGTGACGAAAAGAAATAACACATTTATTTATTTATTTTTTTTTTTTTGGCGTTTCTTTTTTCTTGAGAGAAAGGAACGAAGAAAATGCGAAGGTTGGTACTTAGAAAAAAGGTAAATATATACTTTTTATCATAATTTAATTTTAATTCTGTTTTATTATATTATAATTTTCTTTTCGATACTACTGTTCTTGCATCGCAGAGGATAGTGTAAACTATACAATATTCTGCTTTACAGAAATATATATATATATATATTAACAGAAATATATTATATATATATATATAGTAACAGAAATATATATATATATATATATATTAACAGAAATATATATAT